GTGCCGAGCAGCAAAGCTCCCCAAAGCCAAGCCGTGACGGCTGCGTGGGGCGGGGCAGAGACAGAGAGACGGACACAGACGCGCCCGCGGGCGGGAGCGTGTTTATGGCAGAGGAGGGAAGAATTGCCTGTGCGGCAAATGGCTGAGGGGGCAATCGGCCCTCCCCACGCCCGGCTGGGAGAACGGAACCTGAGCGCTCCTCACGCCCTGCGCGGAGCCAGTGCCCGTTGCGTTGCGTGCCTACTAGCACTGTGTTGTTGTTAATCCTCACCTGAGGATCCTTTCCCATTGCCTTTTAGAGCGAGTGGAAGGGAGGGGGGAGGCAGAGAGGGACACATCGGCTGGTTGCCTCCCGCCTGTACGTGCCCTTGACCAGGGTCAAGCCCAGAGTCCGTGGGCCGACGCTCTATCCACTGAGCCACACGGGCAGAGCTGGATTGCGAATCTAAATGTGAGTGGATAACAAGCTTCGGGGAGAAGGCGGCCTCTCCGCCCACTGCTCACATCACCGGCCATTCCTCCCGTCGCCAGGCCCCCCCTCCGGCCTCCGGCCTCCTGCTGACGAGGACCCTGGGGTTGCACCAGGGGAGGGGACCATGCGGAGAATCCAGGTGACCGCCCACCTCGGGACCCTTCCCTGACCGTGGCTGCGAGGTCCCCTCGATCATGTGAGGGGACGTCCCTACGTCCTGGGGGTTACGACATGGACCCTATGGGGCCCCTTTCAGCCCAGCTGCAGAGGGTGTGGTCAGTGGGTGTGGCCAGCGCAGCCTGGGAGAGGGTCCAGGTGTGGGGAGCGGCTTGCACAAAGGTGGGGGCCGAGAGGGGAGAGAGAGGAGAGAAATGAGAGCAGCAGTGGGTCCCCCAGGGCCTGGCGACCGGACCGAGCGGGGCAGCCACTGGGGCTGTGAATGGCGGATGCTCATCTGAGCGCCCTGCTGCCCGCAGGGTGTGGGCGGGGAGTCCCTGTAGCCGGACACTGTGTGGACACGGAGCTGAGGCAGCTGCTGGCCGGTGGCCCCACCCCGTCCCCGCTGCTCAGGGCCAGGGTGGCAGTACCAGGCGCCTTGCTTCCCTCCACTCTGACCCCCCACAAGTTCCACCTTCGGTCCCTCTGCTCTGGACTCGCTCATCCCAGGGGGCTGGGAGGGGCTCTGGAGGGTGACACTGACCCATGGCCTGAGCTCACAGGACAGGGCGGTCCTACAGGTCCTGGCCCCCTACGCCCTCCCCAGCGGATGTTTGTGCTGCGCAGCTGTGGCCACAGCTGTCCGCCCAGCCCCGCCCTGCCCCCTGGATGCCAGCCACCAGCTCACATGTGACCCTGTCCTTCTGGCTGGACTCAGTCTCCGCCTCTGTCCCACGGGCTTTAGGACACGGGGACCTGGACGCTCCGTCCGGCCCTGTCCTTGTTGGGTTCCGGTGCCTAGGGAGCCCCGAGGCTGAAAGGGGTGCCTCTCCCTGCAGATGCTGCCTAGCCAGCTTCCGGGACAGGCAGGGTGGCCGTGAGCCCACTCATGGCGGGGGCAGAGGGAGGGGAAGGGGAGGGGTCCTGTTAAAAGCCAGGAGGTTGCACAATGGTGGCAGCTGGCGGCTCTGAAAATGTTGTTTTTCACCGCGCACAGCTGTGGGGCAGCTGGGAGGCACGCTTCCCATGCAGGGCAGGAGGAGCCTGGGGGGCAGAGCTGGTGGCTGGGGGAGGACAGGCCTGGAACCCCATGGAGCCCATGTCCACCACAGTAGCCCCCTTTGTCGGGAGCCGGGGGGCCGTCTGGGCGCTGGAAATGCACGAGGCCACTGGTGTTCCCTGGGTGGGCGCTGGGCTCCCGAACACCTCCACTCCTCCTCTCTAGATCCGGCCCTGCCGGCCCCCACCCCCGCGAAGTCCCCTGTGGCCACGAGGGCGGTTCTGGGCCTGGGGCCTGCGTCCCTCTCCCCTGGGCCGAGCTTCTCTCAGCGCCGGGGGCCAGGGCAGCGAGAGCAGCAGCGCGGGTCTGGAGCGCGGGCCGGCGTGCTTCTCAGGGGCTCCCAGCTCCTCAGAGGTCTGGGGCGTCACCCCCGGCCCCAGAGGCCGCCAGCTCCCTGCCACACCCCACTGGCTTCCTCCTCCTCCCGCCTCAGAGTTATGGACTGAATTATCCACCCCCAACCCCCAAGTCCACACGCTGAGCCCTAACCCAGCGTGAGGGTCTGTGGGGCTGGGCCTTTGGAGGGTGAGCGGGTCGGATGAGGCTGGGTCGCCATAGGTGGCTGCTGCCCATCTGAAGCCCCGTGGGCTCATTCTCGCCCACAGAGCACCGGGAACTTTTTATAAAAATCACCCACAATCCCTTTCCAAGATACATTATGGTTATCTGGGTGCAACCTTACACACACACACACACACACACACGCACGCACACACGCACATGCACACACACGCACGCACACACCCAGGCTCCTTCCTCTCAGGCGGCTGCGGGCCTCCGGCACCTGGCCGAGGTGGCAGAGATGGAGAGGGCATGTGCTTGTAAACTTTAATTCCTTACAGTAGAGAAACACAAGACAAGCAACGTGGGCGACTACAGCAAAGCTCACAGGTCCTGGGACGTGGCTCCCGCTGACGGGCTGTGCCTCCTGCTGCTCCGGGGGGATCCGGGGTCCATGGCGCCACAGGACAGCTCAGTGCTCGGTCCTGCAGCACCGCCCCCCGCCCCCTGAGGTTCCAGCTCCCCCTGCCAGCCTCTCTTCCGCCAGGGGAGGGGACCTCACGCCAGCCACAGGGCTCACCGGGCAGCCAGGGGACGTCCTGCGGTGCCCACTCCAGGCCAGGCTGGTCCTGAAGGGACGCCAGGCTGGCGGGGCAGACAGTTCTGCTTACTTAACGTGGGGGCCGGGGGCTTGGGAGCGGAG